TGTGGCAGTACTTGGAATCTTGCTGATAAATGTTATGCGCTGTGCACTCCGCAGCAGTCAGTGGAGGTCAGAAGAACAGCTTTTTAGGAGTGCACTGTCTGTGTGCCCTCTGAATGCAAAAGTAAGTCACTCATGTGGACTTCTAATCTTTTTTTTTTTTTTAAGTGTTTTGAAATTTAGGATTGAGGGAGTGTTATGCATAGTTAATATATTGTGGTACAGTGTTATTCACAGTCTGCTTGGTGCAAGAATATGACATTAAAATGTCAGACACCTAAATTACAGTGGTAGCATAGTCAAAATACCAGACAGTACAAATTACAATATTGTAATTCAGAACTTGGTGGTGGGAGTGGGGAGGGGAGGGAGAAGGGGCAATACACTTCAGGAAAGGCATCCAGTCAAATTGGACGTACTGCTACTAAAATCTACTAAAACAATTGTGCGTATAATTGCAAGTTATTACAACAAAATATCAAAAAGAAAGTAAGTTGTAGCAATGTATTCACCTGAATAATGCCTATGCTATGTTTTTAGAATCCTTTTTGTGTGCCTTCCAATGGTATATATAGTCAACACAGCTAAGGGACAAAGCAGTGTTGTATCATCAGTGTAATCGCAGGATGTGGGGGTAAAATCTTTGCTCCCACTTCTGCTCTTCTACAGTGGCTGATGGGCTAGAGTCTTCAGACATGGGCACTGAGGAAAACTGTAATATTCCCTGTAAGGCTTAGTGAGGGAACAAGTAAGAGGGTGGGACTCGATAGGATGTTTCACTGAGCTGAACACCAGTGTTTGGCATAGTAGACTGAATCTTGCTTGCCAATAGAGGTGACCTCCACAGCAGTCCTTTGATAGCTGAGAGTGTGATCTGTTGGAACATACCACAGAGCCCTGATGTTGTCTGAATTTTAGCAGAGGCTCTCTTTGAAGAGCCTGGGAATAGGAATGCACAGCTTGTCAATAAAAATAAATTAATTTTTAAAAGAATAGATTTCTGTAATCTAGAGTGATATCTAGACAATACAGATCAAGACACAGGATTTAAAAAGGAACCTGTGAATGCTCAACTTTGCAAAGAGAATGATAAACTTAGCATCTACTGGAATACAAATATGCAGCGGTGAGCTGTAAAAAACATTTATGGCCAATATTTACAACATGGTGGTGTCTTTCAATAATCCCAGATTTCAATACATAGAAAAAGAGCTGTTGTATTTCATTGTGTGGCAGTGGTAGGCAACCATCTTCTTTTTAATGATGACCTCAGTATATCTTGTCTTCTGGATGACAAGCGCATACTATAAATGGAGCAAACGCAGTCTGTTCCTTTGTGTGTAATTCCATCCATCTGCCATGGTAAGAGTGCTTTGGACAGATCCACGCTCTCTTTGCCTGTGCTCCAAGCTCCTTGGACACAAGCCATGTCTGGCTGGGAAGCTGTGTAGCTGTGTTCGCACGGTGCTGTGCTTGAGCCGATAAGCTGTGTGCAAGCTACTGAACTAATGCAGCTGGTTCAAAGCCAATGAGTGTACAGGGAAAATGATCTTGTGTTTGTCAACATTGGGCCCTCTAGACATGCCTGAGCTGTATTGCTGCTAGTGACAGCTTGCACAAATGGAAAGCGTGGTGATGTGAACAGGATGGGTTTTGTAGGCTCACATTCCAATTTTGCTGAAAGAGTAACTCTGTAGTAGGGAACTTTTCTAGGCAACAGCATTAGAGAGTTCATGTGTGAGAGGCAATCTGTTTTTTTCTTTATGGACTCAGCTATATTTATTCAATTTTGACAAAGGTAAATGTGAAAATTGCAACTAGGTTCTGGTCTGATCTTTTGTTGTTGTCTCGAAATTGCAGACTTCCTTTAAAAATGACTCCACAGGACCTTCAGTGGCCCATTTATTTCAGTGGGAGGCTGATGCAGACCAAAAGATGGAATGCAGACAATAACTTTTTCTTGTTGTCCTTGGAACATCTTTAATATGTGTGATGTGGTCATGCTTTACTTCCCTTATGTAGCAGGGTCCCAGAATCTCCAGGTGTCTCCCAATGAGCAACAAAAGCTGCAGCTCCTAGTTCATGTTTTGTGGTACAGCTCTTTTCAATTCCAAACTGCCTGTATTTGAGCAGTGTGGAGTAAACTTACCTTAATTCTAAGTAACAAGTAGTTACAGCAGTGCCTTCTCTAATTTCAGGACTCATCTTCTTTAAACATCTCTTTAGACAGAGGCGTGGAAACTGCATTAAATCAGATTGTCTGGAATAGTAGTGAATCTACCCCCTTGAGTGATGGATGCATCTGGCTCAAGAGGGTGACATTTAGGATCAACTTTGATAAATGTTGCTCTGTGATTTTAAAATTTATTGGAAATAATCAGGTACCATAATGAAGTTACAAAGATTTTTACTTTAAAAAAAAGTTCACAATACAGATTTTTAAATGTTTTAAATATTTTAAAAAAATATTTTAAATGTTATTTATTTAAAATATTTAAAATATTTTAAATACATATGTTATACATATTATATAGAATTTTTAAATTTTTTTTAAGAGAGAGAAAGAAGCATGTTACAGATCTTGGTTAAACATGTCCAGGAGTATGTCACACATTTGAACTTGCATGGTCCTGCACTTAAGTTGGTTTCAAAGGTTGTTAGCCTGAAACAGTATACATTTTCAATACATTTGGCAGTATTTTTCTTAGCTGAACAGAAGGTGCCTGTATATTGATTCCATTTCCTCTTACCACCTTTTTTCATTTTTTTAGATTGACTTAATTCCTGGAGTTCAGTGGTGATATACACTAGCGTGAGTTAGAACCAGACCTGTGTTGTTTTTGCTAAAACAAATTTTGTGAACAGTTACAGAGACTGTTTTCTCCTGATATGTTGATTATATGTTACAGGTAGTTTATAAATTTGGAATATTTCAGTGCCACTGGCTCACTAGGTCCAATCTGATATCTTTTCATTTGGTGTCATTATGTTGCAAGTTTATCTTGGAGTGCTTTGTTGAAGTACTGGAATATCTAATTACAGGCTATGATAAAAGCATAACTACTGTTTCACCATATCAGACTACTGGCTTGGATTTATCTCCTTAGCTTTAGGCATCTACATCTGAGCGAGTCAGCCAGGCTTCCTTTATAACTGGGGAGGAGAAGCTGTCCCTTTTAGCATGTGTTCATCATCACCTTGGACTAAATGACTGGCATAGGCCAGAAGGACTGCACCCTAGATCTGTGCGTTTCTCTCCACTGATGATAAACGAAGTCCTGACAACTAGAACGGACGTAGATACGTAAGGTTGTGTGAGATTTTGCCCTTGCCCTACTGCTGTTCACTATTTCTAGACATTGCTGTATTGCTCCTCACCTTCTGAGGTCACTACACGTTGTTTCTTTTAATTTTAAAGATTATTCCTAAAAATGCTCACCTTACTGCCTTTTTCTGCCATGTGGTAAGTTATTGTTGGAAGTGCCAAGTTACTTTTTCTCGGCTTTTAGCAAAGCCATGGCAGTTTTTAAGAATCCAGAGGTGTTTTTTATTTCTGGATCACTTCCTCTAATTGATTATCTAAATAAAATTTGCAATTGGATTGTTAAATACATGGGAAGTAGCCACCATTTTTCTTTTCCTAGAATTGAAATAACTCAATTTAAATGATTGTAAATTGTTAATAATTCCATATGTAATCTGTACATTCTCCTTGCTACTGGCTTTTCTTTAAAGGATAGAAATTAATAAACATAATTTTTAAAAAGCCAATTCAGTAGTAACTTTTCTGCAATAATAAGCAAGGAAGTTGTGATACTCCCAACAGAATGTGTTACTAACCAGTCTGCCTTGACATACTAAGGATAGTAACTTCGTATTTGATGCTTTATGCAAACTGTAATTATTATAGATACAAGTTTGTCAAAGGCAACCTATGTTAGTACTGAAAATGTACAACAGAGTTTGTGAGGTTACTTTCTATACTTTCTTAAAAGGTCTTGTAAAACCTCTTTGTGACAGAACAAGATTTACTGCTCTTTAAGGATTTATGAAGCTGATCTACAGAGCATTTCCTTTAGATATTGAGAATTCTTTTCTATGCTATATATTAAAAGGGGATTATCTTCTGCAGAATTTACCTTCAGTGCTGTGGGCTATGTTTATAGGGGCTATCTGCAGTGTTTTGCCACACAGATACCATTTTAGATGTTGGGTTTTTTGTGTACAAGCACAGTCATGCAGAAGAAGCTTTAGACAACGTTAGCTGCACAAACAAAATGTGAAGATCAAAAAGGCTTTGTTTTATTATTATTTAGAAAGCAATTTCAGTACTAGAGGAAAGAGAAGAGTGTTTGATGAAAGAAGCTGGCATTGAACAGAAGCATCTGCATGTTTCTGTAGAAATTTTGACATCTGTGCTTTGCTTCCATCCTTCTCAGCAAATGTTCATATTTGCTGAGAAGGTAATTATAAGCAGCTAGGAAGAGAGAATAAAATAGTTGATAATGGTAGTGCTCCAACTGAGGGGTTGTACCTCCTAGAAGATGATACTATAGTTCAATTTCTTCCTACACTGCTTTGAGGGGGGAAAAAAAATTTAAAAAAAAAAAATCGGTTTGACAGTAATTTTGTTTTTGTACAGGAAAATACAAATTTTTTCTTTCTTCCTCATATAAATGTGTGTGCACATTTAAGCACTTAAATAAGAGTTCGAGCACTATGTGTGTCTAACATAGAATAATATACAGTGCTTTTGCTTTTTTATACTGGCTTCTTAGGCCGATTGAGGTATTGCGAACAAACACATAGAGCCAGTTCTTTGGCTAGGCTGTGGTGCCATGGTTATGTTAACTTTAAACAACACATGCCTGTTGAGATCAGCTAGGTTCTATCCTAAGGTATTTTTACCTAATTGCCCTGATTTCAGTGCTGTGTTGTTATGCATCCCTGAGAAATGCTCCTTTTAGACCTATTACTGTAAAGTAATTACCTGTTTAAGATTGATAAAGGAGCATGTGGGCATAATGTAATACGTCATTTCCAGTTAATATCTATCTTTAATCATTTAATAATGAAATGCTATGTCTGCTGTTAAATGTTTAATCGGGAAAGGAAAATCCTCTCTCCCAGGTTGGCATGCACAATATCTGCCAAAGGCAGAAGAACCACATCTCTAGAGATGAAATTTAAACACTGGCCCCTCATTTTTAAAGGCCAGATTCTTCCTGTCCACTGGTATATAGAAAGTACTTGTCCCCATGTTGTGCAGGCAGGGGTCATAGCAGAAATCAAGGAGAGTTACAGCCTTGTGCTTAGCAGAGGGCAAATAGTTATTGTAGGCCTGGTTTGGGGGAGTAGAGCTAAAGGCTGATCTTGGCATCTCTCTGTCATGGCCAGTGAGGTGAGAGACATGGCTGTATGGCAAAAGTCACCTGCACCTCTCAAATGACACTATGTGCCTGGAAACCCTTCGCTGACTCTGTTCTTCAGAGCAGGATGTTACTGCATATTATAATCCATTGTAAAGCTGGTTTTGTCATTGAGTATTTGTGGTAGGCTGAGGGGTTCTTTTGGTATGTTTGTTTTAGTTTTTCTTCCCTTCCTTTCTTCTCTGTCCCCCCCCATATTAAGAGGAACGAAGGCTACAATTTCACTTGAAGAAAAATTAGGAAACCAACATTCAGTGAGGAATTCTTCATTTTCAGGAGTACTGTATAGAAATATCGGTTCCTTTCACACAGAAGCTATTTATGAGGACAGAGAAATACACCATCAAAAATGCTAATAGTTTATTTAAATAGTTTTGCTGCCAGTTTTAATAGACTATAGTACATCTTTTTAATTCAGTTGACAAAATGTACCTGTACACTTAATATTTCATTTGATGTTTTGACTTGAGAGAATTGATATCTCTCAGGTTTCTGCAGTCTGCACAATTCTGTTAACGTGAGTAAATATTTTTGCTGCTGCTGCTTTTGAGATAGAAATGGATATTAAGAAGTTCCATGTTTTTAAAAATTGAGAAAAATGGAATCAGACAGTGAAATGCTGACTGTTTCCTAGCATAAGACAGCTGACATGTGAAAGACTGAGCGGTTGGTGTATACAAAGTTTTTTCTCATATGCTCTGTCCCCAGTCTTTAATCAAATTTCTTCTTTCAGTAATGCTTATGACTTTTGTAAAACATTAAAAAAAAAAAAAGACTTTTGTAAAACTTCAAGAAAGAAATTGAATCACATTAATGTAATCTTGTTTGCTGATATTGAAATGTGAAGTCAGGTATTTTAAGGGCTAATATACATTGAGTGAAATCTTTTCTTAGTTTTTTCTGTTTTGCCACGATTTATCTTTTATCTAGAAACACAGCAAAGTTTAACAACCTAATTTGCTCTGAATAAATTTTGAGTCTGTAAACTTCGGCATATATAATCAGAGCAATCCAGTTTGGTAAGAATGTTATCATAGTGTGCTGAGAAATTTCTGGAAGAGATATACAAATAGTATTCAGTCCTAAGAAACATGTTTCAGGGTGTATCACTTCATTTTAATGACTCCTGGGAAAACAATGCTACTCTTTTTGGGTTTTTTTGGACACCATCAACTGGTCTTTATAAATGGCTATGTCCTGATATAAATGTACCATTCTGTTGCTTCTTTGGCATGGACCTTGTCGTATTTTTATGAATGTACAAAAGAAGTGCCTGGATCTTTTTTTTTTCCTGGAAGCTGTGCTAGAACTACTTTTATGGGATGCAGAATTTGTGTGCTATTTTATATCTTACAGCCTGAAGAGCTGCTTCTGTGTATGCCTAGTAAACTTTATAGCATCCATGCTGTCTGTAAAACCAGTGAAACTACCTTTTCACTCATTCTAGAAAGCATGGAAAATGTTCTTAACTTTATTTGTTGATGGTATGTTACTGCATAGTCACAGCCATATAGAGATGGAATTCAACAATTAAATACCATAACAGTTAGGTTCAACCATAATTGTTTGTGCTGGATCAATAGGTCCCAGGTATTGTGCCAAAAACAATTAAGATTTTTCCTTTGATGGACACATGAGAGAAAATCCTTTTCTCAATGTAGAAGGTGAATTAGAGTTATCTAAATGCATTACAAACCTATCTTTTTGTACTTCAATCTGAAGTAATTCCTGCGTAGTATTTTTGAAAAGATTTAAATTAGATTTTCAAAGTGGAAGAAATCACAATGTGTGTTTGTTTTAGATGAAGTATATACAAATTGATTTCAAATAGCAAGGTAATTTAAATAAGGAGTTCTGATCTAGTTGCTGAGAAGTCTATTTTCAGGAGTCAGTACTCACAGTACTTTCCTGTTATTTCTAAATTTGAGTCTTCCCTTTGACCAGGTAATGTAGTCTTCTGAGATTTGTCTTAAAGTAGAATTTGAGATGTCTTCCAACTCAGATTTATCCTGAAATATATTTATTCCTATCTAGTCCTTGCCGTAAGTTCAGATGATGTGTCTTCTACCCTGTAGCTATATCTCAAAGCTCTAGATCCTTCCTTCATTCTCCACTTTTTAACAGGCAAGGTCTCAAACATGTTGCCATACACATTATTTTTTATTTCAGAAATGCTGTTTGATGCATTTTTATCCCCAGACAATAGTGTGTGTGTGCATTTATTATTTTTTGTTTGTTTTTGAAATATGGAGCTTAGTTTTTCTGTTAATGTTGAGTTTCTTCTAGTTTATACTATAGCAAAAGCAAAGTTTAATCAACACTTACATTGCTGTAGTGTTTCTTCTGCTATGGTGGATTTGATTGAGTCAGACTTTCTCTTACTTGTCTGACACATAAATGAAATGAAGAGCAGGAGGTCTCAATATAGAGAGTCTTGTGGAAAGTGTGACCTTATTTATAAAATCGGGAAGTGAATAATCTTTCTTAAATAGCTGGAACAGGTAAACTGATTCATTAATTTATTCTTCAGACTTTGTCTTGCTGTCTTCATTGTATGTATTGTCCAATCTTAAGTATCCACCTACCACAAAAGCCAGCAGTGAATGACGCAAGACCCGTGTCCTGGTTTCGGCAGGGACAGAGTTGATTTCCTTCCTAGTAGCTGGTACAGTGCTGTGTTTTGGATTTAGGATGAGAACAATGTTGATAACACACCGATGTTTTAGTTGTTGCTAAGCAGTGCTTACACCAGTCAAGGACTTCTCAGCCTCTCATGCTCTACCGACTGACAAGGCTGGAGGGGCACAAGAAGCTGGGAGGGGGCACAGCCAGGACAGCTGACCCAAACTGGCCAAAGGGACATTCCATACCGTGTGACGTCATGCTCAGTACATAAGCTGGGGGAAGCTGGCCGGGGGGGCCGCTTCTCGGGGACTGGCTGGGCATCGGTCGGTGGGTGGTGAGCAATTGCATTATGCATTACTTGCTTTGTAGGTCGTTATTATTACTCTTAGTAGTAGTAGTAGTATTTTATTTTATTTCAATTATTAAACTGTTTTTATCTCAACCCATGAGTTTTCTCACTTTTACTCTTCCAATTCTCTCCCCTATCCCACTGGGGAGCGCGGGAGAGTGAGCGAGTGGCTGTGTGGTGCTCAGTTGCCAACTGAAGTTAAACCACAACAACCTGACTGTATCTATCTGGAGTAAGAATTTATAGCAACTTGGCTTCTGACTGTATAGCATCTGGTAGAATGTTTGTCTGTGTTTTCAGGTGCACTACAATGTTGGCAAAAACCTGGCTGATAAAGGAAATCAAAGTGCTGCAATCAAATACTACAGAGAAGCTGTAAGGTATTAGGAATTTTACTGCTTTAATGAACTCTCCTAAAATTACTTTCATGTTTAACATGAAGAAAATGCTTAGGTATTCATTTTCATGGTCTGCAGTATTGCAGAGCTAGCAATTTGCATATAGTAATATATGTCACATACATAATAATCATCTCTTAAATTTTAAATTTTAGGTTGAATCCTAAATATGTACATGCCATGAACAACCTTGGAAATATTCTGAAAGAACGAAATGAGCTCCAAGAAGCAGAGGAGTTGCTGTCCTTAGCTGTACAAATACAGTATGTTTAGAACAATGCTAAGCAGTGTTTTCCACCAGCTGAGCAGAAATGATACAATAGGATCTTGTGTTCCAAATGCTCAATTGTCCTCTCTCTTGTTTTTCTTCCCAATTTGCCCAGACCTGATTTCGCTGCTGCATGGATGAATCTAGGAATAGTACAGAACAGTTTAAGAAGGTTTGAAGAGGCAGAGCAAAGCTACTGGACAGCAATTAAACACAGGAAAAAATATCCAGACTGTTACTACAATTTAGGGCGGTTGGTAAGTGCTTTTGAATAAATGATAGCTATGACAGTAATCTGTGTGTGTGTGTGTGTATATATATGTCTGTGTGTGTGTGTGTGTATATAATTTCGCTGTACTGTTAAATGCTGATAGTTACTCCAGTTTGCTTGATTTGTAGTTCAGGGTGTTTTCATATATTTGGTAGCTTTTCCTATTGCTTTCCCAGTATAATTCCTTCCATACAACCTTTGGTAGTCCTACTTTTTCATATAAAGAAAAATATAGATTGTGGTCTTTTGTTTAAAAGATGTTATTAATCATTTCCCAATATTAGACTGGTTTACAGTCATTTGTATATTGTTAGGTAGTAGAACTATGCCAAAAATTCCATTTAGATTTTTGGAAATATTTATATTAAATATTTACTTATTCGCTTGTGTAGATTTCTAAATTGTACGCTGGTTTTCCTCCCTATCCTAATGGTACATGCATACTTGAAAACAAGCTTAGGTCCCAGAGAAAAGCAGGGTAAAATTAGTATATAGCACTCTATCTTCCATACTTCCCTAGTATTCTTTACATTTTTTATTTTTGTCTATAAAAACAAGTTCTACTAGAATGGAATGAAACATTAACAACTCTTTAGAGTCTTTAGTACATGATAGGAAAGTAAAGCAAATCAGGGTGAAACTACTGAGTTTTTCTTTCTTTTTAGTATGCAGATTTGAATCGCCATATAGATGCATTGAATGCATGGAGGAATGCTACAGTTCTGAAACCAGAGCATACTTTGGCTTGGAACAATATGATCATATTGCTTGATAACACAGGTATAAGCCCATTTGAATGTTTTAATGAATAATTCAGTGTCTTGCAAAACTTAAAGCTTTATCTGTATTCATCTAAAAGGAGTTCTGCCTCTTCTTTGGCTACCCAGACACTCTCCATAAATATAAGAATACCTTCTGACTCAATGGTTTTAAAGCATCACATGAAATCCAGCCCATAAATTGAATTTCTGATCCTTCTTTGAAATGCCATCATTGTGCAAGCATGTTTGTATTATAGACCAAACTTCAGAACTTTTGAATCTGTGCTTTGTTGTTCTTCTGAAAGTGTTATCTGTTGAAAATAAAATGGAGGTTTTCTATTGTCTTATTCTGCAGGGTTTTACATTTGTGTGTGTGTGATACCTGGTTTTCTTTAAAAATGCGTGTAATCAGCTATTCATACAATATGTGTGCTTGCAGCATGAAAAGTAACTAATAAGGCTGTGTTAAAAGATGCTTTCTCTTTTTCCACTACATGGGCTCCCAGGCAATCTAGCTCAAGCAGAAGCAGTTGGAAGAGAGGCCCTGGAGTTAATACCTAATGATCATTCCCTTATGTTTTCATTGGCAAATGTACTGGGGAAATCGCAAAAATATAAGGTAGGTAACTAGAGCTTTTCTGAGTGTTGGTTGTGTTTTGTTGGTTTTTTTTTTTTCTTATTTAAACTCTGTAAGTTTCCGTAGAAAGTGTTTGAGGAGGTCATTGTGGACTATGACTTAGATAGTCAGGTTTCAATGCCCATTTCTGTCACAGTATTGCTGTGTGATTCTGGCCTAAGTTCATCCCACCTTATTTTAGATGCCTGTGTTAGAAATGTTGCTGCCCTAAATTAGCTATGTCAGTGGTCAGTGGAGAGAAATAGGCTCTTAAGCACACTAGAGGGCAGTTAGGGTCTTGTATTGCTTCACTGCCGATAGAGAGAGCCTGCTCTGATTTAGAGGCCTTGGTTCAGGAACTAAAATTAGATGTGTGCTTTTTGTATGTAAAGGTTTACCATTACCCGATTATGAATTCTAGCTCTTTGCCTCAGACGCTATCTGAAATAGAGGTATTACAGATTTGCTAATCCCAGATAGAGGATGGGTTACCTGGGTGATCCCAGAATATTATGAGGAAAAAGTCCATACATTGAGCAATGTATTGAACTTTCTCTTGGATACAGTAGACCAGCCTGCGAGTGGTACCTCAGCATTAGCTACTTATATTTACAAGTAGTAAATGTAATGGAACTGGTGAGAATGAGTTATTTTCCAGAAGGAATTGTATGCGCTGACAGAGAATAAATCATACACAGTTAATATATTTAGTTGGTTTAATTGACTCCAGAGTCACTGATTTATGTATGTGATAGGGACAAATTAATAATCAAGGAAGCTTTTGGTATTCCTCAGAAAAACATCATTTACTGAACTGTGGCTTTCGGAGGTTTTGATGGCTTTTTGATAGTGATGTTAGCAGCACTGAAGGAACGTCCTCAGTATATGCAAAGTAAGAAGATTTTATGATGTTAAACTTCTCAGAATAGATACATTTTTCCACCAAATACTGTGTCCACTTACATTTCTACAATCCTGTTCAGCTGTGGAGTCATGACCTGTCCACATGTAAAGCCAGGGCCTGTGACAACCCAGCACTTGCTTTTGTTTGTGTTAGTGATGCTGTTAGACACCCCACCATTGCTGTTTCTCTAGACTGGCTGGTTTTTTTTTCCGTACACTCTCCTTCTTTTTTCTCTCCACCTGAGACTGTTTTAAAATATGTATTTTAGGTTACTGTAACAAGGTTCCAGAAGGATACAAATTAACATCCAGAATGTATAAGGGATGAGATTATGGAGGAGGTAATTGCTAGGATTATTTTGGTGAGTCATGACTGTGAAAGAATAGAGGATTGTATAGTTTTTCATCAAGAAGAGTATGCAGCATGACAGAATAAAGAGCATTTATAATGAAGTAAGTAGAAAAAATAAGTTGAAAACAAGCTAGAAAACTTTTCCAGGTATAGGAGAAACAAGTCTGTCTTAGTGGATTTAAAAAATAAAAAAGGAGGTAGTGGTTCTGATTGCTGGCTCTGAAAGGTCATTATGCTGCAGGGGAATGTGTTGGAGACAAAGTAGAAATGATAATAGGGGAAAATGAAGCTTTCAAGTCAGCATCCTGAATAAAGCAAAAGGAGCAGTGGAGCCCAGGGAAGAAAGCAGGGAGCCAGTGAGTGTTTTAATAGTTCGATATGGAGTAGTAGGTTTGTATAGAGCAAAAAACTTAGCTAGTAACTTGAAATTGATGGGCTGTAACTGGGAGAGCAAATTAAGGGAACTGGAAAGCGGACTCACTTAGAAAAGGTTATGATCTCAGTAGCTGTATTTTGCATCGCCTAGAAAGAGGAGATACAGGTTTTTGAAGTGGGGAAAATGCTAAATGACAATAAAAAGCATGGAAAATTCAGATTTCTTGTCTACCCCCTCACCATCTAAAAACAGAGAGAAGAGGATGGCTCTTTAAGGATCTTTATTGAGTGTTCGGGATGGGAAGGGAGGAGGAGGGGATGGAGACTGTCAAGGTGATGGAGGTAATTTTCAGAGGGCTGCCTGGCTGTGTCTGATGTGTCGTACAACCTCAGGCACTTCATTTATTAGGTTGCTTGTTATGTGTCTGTATAAAAGTTGTTACTGTATTGACTCTGTTGCCATAAAGTAAGATTTGTTCTGGGTTTTTTTGTTATCTCTTATTTTAAAAGACACTGAGTCAAAAAGGTTTTACTATGTTATGAAAGATTTCCCTCCAATAAGCACACAACATTCTCCTTCAGTTTCAAATGCACTTTGATTTTCAGCAGAAGATGGTTTTCCTAAGTGACCAAAAAAACCCCAACACTTTATGACTTCTGTTTGTATCTACTCATGAATGATTTATTGTTCCAGAAACAAAAGCACATCAAGGAGGAGCTGTTTTGATGATTTTGTTTTGGTTTTTAATTAACATCTGTTATACCAGGTTGGAGTTCTCCTTTAAATGCTTGTTCTTGTTGCAAAGAACTATCTTTAGTTCTTTGAAAATATGTATGCTGTATTTTTGTTATGTATATGCTTTTCCTGTAAGAGGTACAGTAAATTGAAACCATTCAGCATTTTATGTATTTGAAATAAAGCCAGACTATAATTTTGTGCTGTGGCCTCCGCAGCAGATGGAATGCAGTGTGCTTACCCAAAGCCTTTGCTATATGCAGTGTGCAAGTTTCTTGGCGACACTTAAAGATTTGGCAACATAGAGCAATTTGAAATATCACCGGATGTACTGGAATGTATATTTACTCCATATATCTACAGTAATATGAATATGATGCACCTTAAATAGCCTTTAATCAGCCAGTATGCTTCTACTAGCTGCTGAGCAAAGCAGTGGTGATAAAAATGTTTTCAGCATGTAGTTGAAGATGTATGGTAATGGCAGCCAACTTTGAGAATCTATTTCATTAAATTTTCTAGGAACGCATTGCACATGTTGTCCCATCGTGCTTCAGCAGTGAAAGGATGAGTCCGTACATTAGATGCTTCTTTGTGTAGGTGGCAACTTCTAGGCATAAAACTGAATTAATTGGACAGCACATCTTTCGCTTTGATTGCTGTTAACCTGCCTGGTGAAGAAAGCAGAGATTTACTTATTAGACCAAAATAGTAAAATTTGCAGTGGAAAAAAATACAACTTTGTGGACTTCTGACTACTACATGCTTTCAAGTGCCAATCCACTGTTGATTTTTAGGCTTGGATGGTTGTACAAAAAGAGGAGGTTATCTTGCAACAACACTAGACTTGCCAAATGTTTGAGTCTCAGTATGTTTCTCAGGTGACTGAGTTAGAATCATAGAATAATCTTGACTGGAAGGGACGTCCAGAGGTCATCTAGTCCAACCCCGGACCCAAACCAGGGCCACCTCCAGTTGAATCTTGAACACCTCTATGGATGGAGATGCTAAAACCTCTCTGGACAGCATCTTCCAGTGCTTGACTGTTGGTCGAACGCTGACGAACGACACGAGTTTGTTCAGGACTTGACCACCCTTACGGTAAAAAAAAAAAAAATTGTTTCCTTTTACCTAATTGGAATTTCCCATATGCCAGCTTGCATCCATTGTGTCTCATCCCGTCTCACAGACTTGTGAGAAGAGTCTGCCTCCGTCTTCTCAGTATCATCTGATCATGTATTTGTAGATAGCAATAAGGTCTCCCCTTCATCTTCTCTTCTGAAGGCTGAAGAGGTCCAGTTCTTTCAGTTGCTTCTCGTAGGTCTTGTGCTCCAGCCCCCACCCATCTTGGTGGCTGTCTGCTGGACTTACTAAAGTATGCCCATGTCTTTCTTGTAATGGAGAGCCCCAACTTGAACACATACTCCAGATGTGGTCTCGCAAGTGCTAAATAGAGGAGGATTACTTCGTTCAACCTGCTGGCTGTACTTCTATTTAACACAGCCCAGGCTGTGGTTGGTCATCTTTGCTGTGAGGGTACGCTGATGGCTTTTGTTCGATTTGCTGTCTACCAGGCCCACCAGATGCATTTCTGTAGAGCTGTTTCCTAGACCATTGCCCCCAAGCCTGTACTTTTGCTTAGGGTTATCCCATCCCAGATACAGGACTTTGCATTTGCTCTTATTGAACTTCATGAGATTCCTGCAGTCCAATCCTGTTCAACATCTTCATTATTGATCTGGATGATGGGGCAGAGTGCACCCTCAGCAAGTTTGCAGATGACACCAAACTGGGAGGAGTGGCTGATGTGCCAGAGGGTCATGCTGCCATCCAGAGGGACCTAAACAGGCTGGAGAAATGGGCTGGTAGGAAACTCATGGAGTTCAACAAGGGGAGAAGTGTAACGCCTTGCAGCTGGAGAGGAACAAGCCCAGGCACAGTACATGTTGGGGGCCACCCAGCTGGAAAGCAGCTTGGCAGAAAAGCACCTGAGGGTCCTGGTGGACACCAGATTGATTTGAACGTGAGCCAGCAATGTGCTCTTGCAGCAAAGAAGGCTAATGATATCCTGAGTTGTGTTAGGAGGGTTGCCAGCAGGTTGAAGGAGGTGATCCTTCCTGTCTACTGGTGAGGCCACACCTGGAGTCCTGTGTCCAGTTCCCAGAGAGCCATGGACATAATGGAGAGAGTCCAGTGAAGGGCCTCGAAGATGATGAAGGGACTGGAGCATCTTTCCTATGGGGAAAGGTTGAGAGAGCTGGGACTGTTTAGCCTGGAGAAGAGAAGTCTCAGGGGGAGGATCTCAATGTATATAAATACCTGAAGGTGCAAAGAGGATGGAGCCAGGCTCTTTTCAGTGGTGTGCTGAGTGACAGGACAAGAAGCAATGGGCCCAAACCAAACCATAGGATGTTCCCTCTGAACATCAGGAAGTGTTTTTTTACTGTGACTGTGACCAAACACTGGCACAGGTTGCCCAGAGAGGTTGTGGAGTCTCCATCCTTGGAGATGCTGCCTGGACATAGTCCTGGGCAGCTGGCCCTGCTTGAGCAGGGAGGTTGGACCAGATGACCTCCAGAGGTCCATTCCGACCTCAACCATTCCGTGATTCCTGTTAGTCCATTTCTCTGTCCTGTCCAGGTCCCTCTGAATAGCAGCTCTCCCCTCCAGTGTATTGACCACTCCCTCCTCTTAGGTGCTATCTGTAAAGCTTTTGAAAGTGCATTCAGTCCCATCATCTAAAACATTAATGAAGACACTAAATAGTATGGGTTTCAGAGACCAATGCATCCAGGAACATTAATAGTCTGGGTATGAGAATGCTGGAGCTGCTGCTTATGCCAGGGAAAAGCAATGCTAAAACTTGCACTATGGAGTCATATACTCCCTCAATTTCCAGACATCTTGTTCCCTTGTTCACTCCTATCCAAGTATTCCTTCTCCTGAAACAGGATGTCCTGCAAAAGGATTTGTCAAGGACCCTAGGGTTTGTAATTTCCTTGACCTGAGAAGATGAAGGCGCTGTCTGCATCAGTCTCTCTTGTCTTCAGAGTGGCAGCCTCAGCTGTGCTAAGGAATGCTTTGAAAGGAGTGTGTAGTTTGGGTTTGAATTTGGACATACTGGGAAGCTCTTAAGTCACTCAAAGTTGCGTGACTCAATCTTGACATCAGAAATTTCTTGTCCCGTGAGGGACCCTTACAAAGACTTATTTCATGCTTCACATGAGAAGATGGTGGAACCAAAAATCTGGCTGAAAGGTTTTCTGTTTCAGTAGAGCCTGCGTTGTGTTTTGTGGATATAAGTAATGAAAGCTTAGCACAAAGGAAAGGCCTTTTCCCCAGGTTATTGTTCTCACATACCTCAGACAGCAAGTATGTGCATTCAGATGGAAGCCTACCACACTGAGGTAATTTTATCTTCAGGTCATTTGCATTGAAACTGAATGGGCAACTTTCCCTAAAACACAGCACAGCATAGAAATCTGTGTAAAATTTGCTCTCTAAATATCTAAACTTGCATGCAGGCAAGTAAATACGCTCCATTTGGATTGGGGGGGGTATCTTTTTAAACTTCTGCAGGAAATACACTCTGGAACAAAAGTATATTAGCAGCTCGTTTGGGAAAATAAAAAAGTTTGAATTAGAGAATAAATTAGCAGTAAATTGTTCTCTGAATATTTGGTGAGGGAGCTCAGCTTTTATAAGAAGTACTCATATATCAACAGTCCTAAGAGTACACACCACAAGTGGGAATATGGAAAAGATAACTTGTGAGGAAATGTGAGGAATATTTCAGTTGGCTTGATTTTTTAAGTAGCAGGCACTCAGCTACTCTTCATTGAGAACCATGTTGAAACATCGATTTGAAAGAGGTTTACTGGAATGCCCCCATCTTAAATGCTAAAAACTATTTTAAAGGAAAAGGTGTCTAAAAGCAGTTTGCTCAGATACCGAATTATATTATCCTGTACTGGTTTTGGCTGGGATAGAGTTAATTTTCTCCCTAGTAGCTGGTACAGTGCTGTGTTTTGGATTTAGTAGGAGAACAATGTTGATAACACACTAATGTTTTAGTTGTTGCTAAGCAGTGCTTACACTAGTCAAGGACTTTACAGCTTCTCATGCCCTGCCAGCGAGAAGCTGGGAGGGGCCACAGCCAGGACAGCTGACCCGAACGGGCCAAAAGAATATTCCATACCATATGGCGTCATGCTCAGCATATAAACTGGGGGGAGTTAGTTGGGGGAGGGGTGACCACTGCTCGGGAACTGGCTGGGCATCGGTTGGCGGGTGGTGAGCAATTGCATTGTGCATCACTTGTTTTGTATATTCCTTTATCATCATCATTATTATTATTTTTATTTATTTATTTATCTTCCTTTTCTGTCCTATTAAACTGTCTTTATCTCAACCCATGAATTTTACTTTTTTTTCCTGATTCTCTTCTGCATCCCACTGGGGAGGGGGGGTAGTGAGCGAATGGCTGTGTGGTGTTTAGCTGCCTGCCAGGTTAAACCACAACATATCCTTAACTTGATTGAATAAGTAGGGAGAACTTCAGCAGGCAATGTTTGAAAATATTGTAACTATGCAAAAAAAAAAAAGAATTTAAGTAAACTGCTTTGCAAACTTCACTAGCGTTTAATAACTCTCTGCTAAAATAACAGCAGCCTGTGAAAGCATGGCACTTACTCATAGCTTTATTACTGTTTTCTGTAGCCACCTGAGCTACAGGATCATGCAGGCTTAGAATATATATACAGTGGTATACAGATATGGCGTAGTTTGGGAGGGTTTTTAATTACAATCGTGGGTAAATTTGCATTATTTTATATACTACGAGAGTAGACTGTCCTATTGACTTGTTCTTCTAAATTATTCAGGAATCTGAAGCTTTGTTCCTCAAGGCAATTAAAGCCAATCCAAATGCTGCCAGTTATCATGGTAATTTGGGTAAGAGCCTTTCTAACTCTTATCAGCTATATTATTTGTTTGCTTCGTATTCATTGTGTTTAAAAAGAAAAAGCAATCTTTTGAGCCTTCTTCCTGCTGGGCAGATTTCTATTTTACTTCCTAGAAAAACTGCCGGCCAAAAGAACAGGGCACTAAACCAGAAAAGCTGTCACGCTATATGACAGATCAAGAGGGCTGCACAATCCAGCCCAGAGGTAGCTGCACTTTGGTGTCTGCAAATTGGTTCATTTATGCTGTGCTTGTAACCCGCAATGAGCTCACCAGATAAGAGCTGCCATTTATGGCTGCAGTGTAATTCATTCCTTCATCATTCCCATGCCAGTTCTGCTCCCAGGCTTTGCTCCTGCATTTGGCAACAGAACAAGCAGCTACTGTGCCACCAGCCAGCGAGAGACCCTCACTGGAAACAAAATGCTTTAATGTTGTTTTCCAAGTGATTGGCAAGATTGCATGTTACTCAACAATATTGCTAATGAAATTCCTCATTGATGTTCCAGCTGTGCTTTATCATCGCTGGGGAAATCTTGACTTAGCAAAGAAGCACTATGAAGTCTCTCTAAAGCTTGATCCTATGGCACCCGGGACCAAGGAAAACTACAACCTCTTAAGAAGAAAACTGGAGCAATTGCAAAAGAAAGGCAGTCCCTGATGTTTCTTTTCAGGTTGTCCGTGCATGCTGTTTATGATTAATGTTACATGGGTACTTTTGACCATGTAAAGGATTCAGTCATTATTTCTCAAAAATAATACCACCACCAGCACTGCACACTTCAATGTCCAATTATGCCCTCCTACAGATCCTAACATTTCAGCTACACTTTGGGGGATCATTTTATTTTTACTCTTGAACTGCTTTTAAAGTCCCTTAGAACATTTTTATAGGTATATGAAAGCAATGCAGATGGAATTTCACAGCTTTCACTTGTAATTTGATATCTTCGTCTGATTTTTAGTAGCAGGATGAATATCAGAAGGCAGTTTTATTTCTGAAAGTGATTCTAAAAAAAGTGCCATTTCCTGTTTAAATCCTGATCTTTTCAAGTATGAAGAGTGTCTGTCCGCTTCAGTTTTATTACTGCCTTCTACTGCCAGTCCTGCAGAGCCAGTGGAAGAATGGATTCTCTCCAGCACATCAGTCTACTCTTGTAATTTGAGTTACGCCCTTGCTCTTGTTTCTGGCTCCACCCTTCAAAGCGTCGGATTTGTACAGGAGTAAATGAGGACAAGGATTTGACCATAAACGTTTGTCAGCCAGTGTACTGATGAGGTATGTTCGAGTAGAGAAAATACTCCTAGATCGAGACGGAGATTTTAGCAAGCAGCAAAGGGGACAAAAGTGTGAGGTGACAGAGGAGTCAGCTAGAGTTTCTGTTCTTGCAGGCAGCCTCATCTTAGCATAAACAACTTGGGCAACAAGTCAGAATTGCTTTAGCTCCTGCCGCAAGTCAGTGGTCTAAATACAGTATAGCGTCTACAGGAGCTAATTCCTGTGTTCTCAGGCATTTCAGTCCTTTCTGGTTAAGGACATTACACCTTTCAGCTCCTATATTGTTGGTGAATAAGGAGAGAGTTTCTGTAAAAAAGTAACTGGGCAGAGCACCTGACCTTGGCTGTTGATGTATTAACTGGAAAGAACTCGGGTTCACCTTTGTCTCCCGTGGCTCATGCATTTGCTGAAGTGGCAGTTAAATAAGCATAGCTGTTAATGCATAAACTGATCACATTGATGTGGGATGATTCAGAGATGGTACACATTGATAAAATGTCACTTTTCAAAATGTGCTATGCTTTAATACAGGTTTAAACTCCGGCTGTCCAGAGTTGTTTGTCTTG